ACCGGTTGGAGCGTGTAGCTGCGTCGGTGTTCTTATTCACTTTAAACGAAGTTGTTAACCCCGTCAAATCCTCCGCTTCAGCTCAATTTAGAATTTTTATGGTGACAGTATCAGTTTCATATTTGATTGTGGCGACCATCACGACGAAAGATTGCACGGTGGATGACCATAACTCATCGTGGTGGTGGGATTGATTAAGTAATATGCCTATTTACAATTATATGGACGCATACAATGGGCGGCAAAAGACTGTTCACTGAAAGATTTCGTGAAGCTGCATCCAGTCCGGATGATGCATTCTGCACACTATTTATGTGTGATCACGGAGCATTGTTCTTCTGGCTGAGTAGGCAGTTATTATGTCACAAGTCGTCTGGGACTACTTCAGAGCTTCTTTCATTAGAATTGTCAATTCGAGAGATAAGTCGGACTTTCCACAAACTCCAGCTGTCGTTTGCGCCCACCACGAGTCCGTCTAAATGAAAAATTGCCAGTGAAATAAAATATCAAAAATTGCACTACAGACTTACGCATTCAAAGTCTCTGCCCAGGGCCGCACGTGAGTGCCGTCACCTGCCTATCCTGATTAGAGCACAGAAGTGGCATTCTCGTCTTCTCCTGAAACTCCGGGACTAGCGCTCTTGAGGTGATCGGAAGATGATGTGCAATGGATGATATAAAAGTGTTGCTGACAATAGCATAGAAGACCGAAATGGCCATTTTAGTCTGTTTTCTTCCCTCGGTCAGTCGCATTCCAAGCCAGGCTGCTACCTGAGCCCGAGTCCTAGTTGGCCATCGCAAATTTTCAAGTCAAGGGTTTTGCCAGTCGCCGCATAGATCCACGTCCTGTCAGCTCTGATCGAGTACATTTCAGGTCACACAAAAGTGGCCCTCATCCACCTACCCTGATTGCAGGATGAGAGCGGACCCATTTCTGCTTTTGTCTCTGATGATGAATTCGAGTAGGAATCCGAAACGGCAGGCTAGTAAAGCTGTTGTCCCAGCGATCGTGTCTCCTTCTTCATGAGAGCGGACTCTTCTCTCTTGTCCTGGAGCGTCGGGTCATGAGCACCTAACTCGGGCTTAAACATCAAATGATTACTCCTGATCTCCCTTGTTTCTGTCGATAACACTTCACGACTTATACCCAGACTAATGGAAGTCGCGAGCCTGCTACATGACGTCATTTCGCTGATTGGTAGCCCAGACTTAGGGGACCCGGACGCACGGTGAAACATGATTGCTTTTGATGCTCTTCGGGAAATTTTTTTATAGCTTCCCCACTATCTTCTACGTGTCTCGCGTTTGGTAGTTATCCTTAAAGACCTCGTCACAGAACCTGGACTCCATGTTTATTTTGGCTTTGTTGCCCCGCGTACAGTCGTGCAAGTGGTTTCATACCGATATTTGGTCCGCTGCAGTCTACGAGGGCCAACATTTGGTAATCCGAATGTGGAGTTGATTATAGTGGATAGGTCTCACGCAGTATCGGACTTACCATTCCTAGTCTACCGCTGAATATTAACAAAACAGCACAGGGCGTTGGGCAGGACACAGGGTTTTCACCCAGCGGCTCTGGGCAAATCTTCCCGAAGAAGTAAATCAAAGATGAGGCCGGGATGAAGTGACCAGGTCGTTCGACTAAGCAGTTGGTGCTATTGTCAATCCATCAATCCCTCAACCGCCGTGCACACCAGGAAGTTGTGTACTATCCTGTTGTGGTTTACTTTTCTACACCCATGCGTCACCCGGTTGACCCGACGCCGGTTTGAGGTCGCTTTTGTCCAATTCCGACCATGTGTTCTATCAAGAATCGCAAACTTCATGCATTTAGTGATCTTGGGCACCTTTGTCCAAAGTATTCTATTGCTTTTTTTTTATCCTCGATAGTTTTCAGGCATTTCTCGGAAGTTTCCATCTTAATCTAATATGTATGCCCTTGTTTTTAAAGACATCTTCGCCCTGTGTTTCTTGAATGTAGGCTTCCAACGGTCGAGCCTGATATCAAACACTGCGGTGACGTTGACATTCGGTTCGCCGTTTATGAAAAGGCCCTGAAGTAGTCAAATTTCAATCCATCCTTACAGGGGACTTTCGTCATCTGTCTTCTTACGCATTCTGTCTTTGTTACCGATTTTATACTGATTCATTGCCCTTTTCGAGGTTGAATTTTCTAAAATAGACAATCAAGAACACCCAGTGAGTAATTGCTCTTCCTTAATTTTTTGCAGATTAGAGGTTAATATTAGAACGCTTGTTTCGCAATGTACGCTGCGAACTCTAGCTCTGTTAAAAATGTCTGTAGTTTCTTTTTTCACCAGTGGTCGTGGGCGCCTCGAGATTGTCCTTCCCCTGTAGTTCAAAGATCCTCCTGTTGGACAAGCTTGTTTGTAGCAGAGTAACTGGCTCTCACCGCCGTTTCACTTATTTGGAGGACAGGTAACAGCTTTTTGGACAGTCTTAGAAGGTTGAAGGCCGATAATAAAAAATAGCTCTCAGATAGCAGCGGGGCGCATCTACAATTGCGTGAAAATTTAGCTTTTGGTTCAGTTCAGATCGCTTGTTTTGTGGTAACTATCGTCGAAACCTACTTTTTGCTGGTGTTTCTTCGGAAGATCGCAAGTAGTCGTGACACTTGTCTTAGAATAATCAGACAGGGTAAACTACGACCAAATTGCTGTTGGAGAACACGTTACCCTTGGCACAGCAGAATAACACTTGTCACAACAGCTGTGGACGGACTCAAATCCCGGCGCTGGGCGAATTCTTCTGTTCCAGTGTTCTTGACTTCATTAACCACATGAGACGCAATGTTTCGTTTTTTGTTCCTACGGTACGCCGGCTTACAGACTTGCCTATATCCTGAAGGGATAATGCGAAAAAACTTACCTGCTGAACGCACTCACGTGAGTCCTACCAAAGGTTACGTGCTCTGTGTAGTCCATAGAATTGTTGGTGATAAGTCATCCCGAGCAAGCAGTATTTCTCGAGCTTTCGCTGCGAATACGTGTTATGACCCGGCCTGGTACGTAGAATTCACGTGGAGCGTGTTCGCGCCCGACTCTTGTCCCCAATACCAAAGCGGCAAAGGAGGAGAACACGACCGGCAACGAAAAAAAGTGTATTGAGAAACTGCAAGTCAAGTCTAACTGGAAAGGTTAAGCGTATTTATAACATCCTACTGGGGTTCACGTGCATTCGCTCCAATGCACTTTGAGAAGGAAATTCTAGACGAGCTGATCGATTACTCACACACACGGGTAGATCAAGCTCGAGGGGAG